TTCGCTCAAGGGCACAGAAGGCTTCAGGAGGCACCAGGTGCTAGGAAAGGGGTGAGGGGCGGGGGAAACGTCTGACAGGTTGTCTCTATATGCAGTGACTAGACCCGGGTCCCCGCCCCGATCCATGCAGCCCAGCAAACATGTGCACACCCCACCCCATTGGAGATCTGTGGCCCATTCCCAGAGAAACTGAACCATAGAAGTTCCTGGAACAAAGACGACTCCAGGCATAGCAGAGGGCAGAGAGGAGGTGCAGGTCTGAGAACAAGGGGATTACGTTGAACTTACATTCAACACCCTTTTTCCAGAAAGCAGCCAAGCCTTTTTCATCAAACAGGAAGATAGAATACCCTTCTCTGGAGGAGCTGAACAGCCTCAAAGAAAAATTCTCCAGTTGATTAACCAAAGAGCAGGGCTATCAGCCTATTGCCCCATGGAGAAGCCCACTGGCAAAATCCCAAAGAGCTCCCAGTTAGTATTTTTAAGCTTCGTTCCTAAGTTGCAGTGGACAGACCACAATGACTCCAGGTTTGAGGAAGGCCACCAAGGCTAAAGGCAAAGGCCAAAATAAGACATCAGTTTTAGAAACCAAAACCCAAACTTAGAGGATACAGAGACAGCACAGCACAGATAGCAAAAGAAAACTTACTGAAATAACTTTACTCAATACCCTCACAGAAATAAGATGCTTCCACAAAACATCAATACAGGAACATATGAAAGAAACAAGATACTAGAGAAAGAGAAATTATAAAATTTAAACATCTATGAGTCGAATTTTTTTTTTAAATTCTTCAGAATTGGATAAATTGAGAAACTCTCCCATAAATTAGAACAAAAAATAAATAAATAAAGAGATGGACAATAGGAAAAGTTTTTTAAAAAACAAAAGTAAAGGTTCAATTCAGGAAGCCAATATCCTATAATAAGGAGCTGAAGAAAAAAATAAACCTAGGAAGCAGTCAGGATATAATTATTTAAAAACAAAACAAAACAGAAAACATCCCAGAACTGTGGGACACAAGTCCTCCGATCAAAAGGATCCAGCACAATGAGTGGAGAAACCGAGAAAGAAAAGTGATGAGAAGGTCTTAGAGGCTCGTGGGGAGTGGAGGCAGTCGACAGAAACAGAGCGATGCCTTCAGGAATTCTATATTCAGTCAAGCCACGAGTCAAGTGCGAAAGAAGAATAAAGACAATTTTCTGACATGTAAGGAAGCCAAGCGTGTCTCTCCAGTGTGTCATTCTTCTGGAAGCTACTAGGGGGCGTCCTCCATGACAATGAGCACATAACTCAAGACAGGGGTGGCCTGGGGTCCAGGAAAAAGGCTGGAACATAGGGGAGCAGCAAAAGGAAGTCCCAGCACGGCCGCAGGGGAAAACGCTAAGACAAGCCCAGGCAGCAGGGCAACAGGACATAGCGCATATGGCAGCACAGGGCGGAGAACCCGAGAGAGAAACAGAAAGAAACGACTGAATTACCTGATGCATGTTAAACACATTTTTAAAAGCCTTACTAACTTCCAAGAAAGCAAAAAGTTGTAAAAGAATATACTATATGCTACTAGTTCAGTGCAGTATGTACTTTAGCAGTAGCAATATTTACATGGCCACAGAACTATAAATATGCATAATGATTTTGCCGAAACATTTCATAAGATTTTGTTAGGACGAGAGTGGGAGTGTGTGTAGGTTTGGGAAGGAGTGAAGGGCAGGAACGGGTGGGTGTAAAAGAATGAAATCATCGAGGACCATAATATCACATCAGTAGATAACTTCTAAATTAGCAAGCCAAGAAATGGCAATACAAGCATATATTTAGAAATACAGACAAAGAACAATTAAAAGAGTTGAAAGATTTTGTTTCCTGTGAGGCAGGAAAGGGTGAGTGAAGTGACTTCATAATATATGAAAATAGATAGCTTTGATCAAATAAATCTTAGCTTAAAGAAAGAGCAGAAGGGCAGACAAGAGGAAAGAAAGAATAATCTACAGAAATATCTCTGTCCTAATGACAATACGGTCATGGACTTCTATCTGTGCCCTCCAAATTCCCAAGAAAATGCTCACAAAACCTAAAACCACAGTGAAAACACCGTGGCCCAGCACTGGAAAGATGACCATGTCCATGTGCAAGGAATTTCTGTAGAACAAAGTGCAAGCAGAGTAGGGTAGAAGTTTTGCCACCTTGCATAACTGGCTTCCAGGCCCAATCATTTGAAAAATGATGTTGAGAAGGAGAAGTGCACAGTGAGAGAAACTCACTTACTCATGGTGGCTTTTTGTTGCCTGTGTCAGCTAAATCCCCAGCCAGCTGCACCCCCTGAGGTATCATGGGGCTGTGGCCAGGCTCTCCTCTGTCTCCCAAGGGATTCTCCAATCTTGTCAAATCTTATGTTGGAGAAATTTCTCGATGCTTTCAGCATGTGGGTGACCATGTTCTCTAGTTCCAGCACGAACATGGATTTTCTCCACTTACAATGTCACTTTGGTTATTTCTCTTGCAATTTAGAAGCCATCCTTGTGGTCAGGAGCACGTGTTTATATCGCTTATGAAAGCTGAAAGTCTCACAGGGGATTTTCCCTTCCTTTTTGGTTAACCACATGGATGGAAGAGTTAGACAAAAACTTGTTGGATGCCAGCTCAGCTACCAGGTGACCTCTGGCAGCTGCCTTGCCTCTCTGCACCTCCACTTCCTCATCTGTGAAGTGGGGGACACAATAACACCAGCCTCACAAGGTTGTTGTTGGGACTAACAATTTCATGTATGTAATGCACACAATGTATTAAAAAAAAGGTTTAACAAGAAAAGTGGCATTTCATTAAAAAGAGAAGCATGTATCAAGAATCCAACACCCACCAGAATCAGAAACCACGATGTGCGTGATTTCTCCCACACTCGGTTCTGCCCCTCTCCGTTGGGGCAGATGTCCCTGCCAGCCCTTGCATGGTTTACATCCTCCCCAGCCCTTCGCACCGGAGGTCTGACCTCTACTGCTCAAAGGTGCCTACGGCAGGAACGGACATGCCCCACGCTGGAATGAAACACAGCCTCCATGCTCGCACTTAACAAGAAAAGGAGTTTTCCCGTGATGGAGAGGCCAACAGGAAGGCCAAGGAGTAGCCAAGAAGAGAGGAGGAGGAGGCACCTCGCACCCAAGCCCATGTTGAAATGGCAAGAAGATGCAGGGCCTGGACCTCCCAACACGGCAGGCTCCTACAGGAAGAGGCCCCACAGCCACCCTGGCAGAAGATCAGAAGCAGCAACAACAATGGGTTTATGTGGCCCCTTACCGTTTCAAACGCTCCCTTCCTCATTCACTCCTCGCAAATACTTGACAAGGAATTTGGGCAGGTGGTATATGTCCATCGTATGAGAAACTGAAGCTGAGAAGGATCAGATGATTTGTTTAAGGTCCTCTGGCCAGTGGGGGCAGAGCAGAGGCCACGAACAAGAGGTCTCAGTGCAGACCCAGGTGCTGCACCCCTAAAGGCAGGTGGGCACACCCTGTACCCAGAGCTCGGCAGGAGCAGCGAAGGCAAACTCAGCTTCCGGTTCTGTCCAGTTTCTCACTCGACAGAGAGAAATGCTGCTTCCTGCTGGCTGGGGCAGCTCCCCCTTCTGCCAAGGGAGATGGGGGGAAGAGCCCGTACAAGGGGCACCTGGGCAGCTGTCCCTGGAGGGTATTTAGAGGTCGGGAGTAGCATGAGTTTGAACTCCTCTAAAAACATCAGGGTGGATTCAATCGCCTCATGCCATGTGGAACCCATTATCCTAGGAGCCCTTGCAGGTCGAGTATTAATAGGTTAAAGAAGGCTTCGGATAATTATTTAGTCAATTGATTCAAATTGGATTATTAAAAAGGGAGCTGAGCTATTAGAGTATCCCCCTTGTGTTTGAGGATGATGCTGAGAGAAGGAACTTCAGAGACGAATCTTCAGGCGGCTTGATGTGGGCTGGCCCCGGGTGGAGTCTCCTGTGCTTGTGCAGACAGTTCTTGTGGCTTTGCTCAACAGTCCCCTGGAGAACCACTGAAGACTCTGGCATCGTGACAGGCTCATGTCAACGCAGGAATCCAAATCATATGCCTCATTTTCTTCCATACCTCATTTTCAGTCTTATAGTCTTTGGAATTGATTCATTTCTGATTATTTGGTTTAGAAAAAAAGACAAAGTGAAACATTGCTTGAGTGCTCGTTTTCCAGGGAGACGCACTAAGCCCTGTAGCCTTATGGTTTACATCCTATTAAAGGTCTTCACCTTCAACAAGGGACGTTTTAGATTTTTTTTTAAGATGATCTAGTTATTAAATCCCTTGTACCAGGGAGACCTTTCCACATTGATTTTTTTAGGGGGTGGGGGATCAGAGGACAGTGGGGAAAAAAAGGCGAAGAAAAGGTACCATAAAGCGTGTGGCAACTGACGAAGAGAGGTGCGGGAAGCTGTGAGAACGGCCCGGGCCTCACCCGCCATGCACCTCAGCAAACAATCGGGAAGAGAAGATAAAAGTTCCCGAAAGGAAGGAAGCAGGAGGGAGAACTAGAACAGGAGAAAGAAGAGAAAAAATAAGGACTTTGAAGGAGAAAAGGCTCAAAACTTGAAGTTTGAGATGGATCACTCAAGGGAGCTCCAGGGAGCCGGAGAAAGGAACTGGGAACGCAGGGAGGACAAATTGCGCCATCCCTGCCGTGGGGCTTGACCTCCCGAGCTCTCCCCAGACAGCGTGCTAAGCCCAGCAGTCAGCCCCTCTCACCCTCCATCCCCCGAGACCCTGCCCCTCCTGTCCCTAACTATCTCTGCCCCCTGCCCCTCCTGTCCCTAACTATCTCTGCCCCCTGCCCCTCCTGTCCCTAACTATCTCCGCCCCCTGCCCCTCCTGTCCCTAACTATCTCCGCCCCCTGCCCCTCCTGTCCCTAACTATCTCTGCCCCCTGCCCCTCCTGTCCCTAACTATCTCTGACCCCTGCCCCTCCTGTCCCTAACTATCTCTCTATCAAGCACGCCTGACACGCACGGAGCGCCTCCCGCCGTCACGGTCTACAGTAGCCAGCAGCCGGCCCCGGATAGCAGGGCCCGGGGTCCGGGGTCCGAGTTCCCCGTTATCAGCAGCCGCGGGCCGAGAGCCAGGCCGGGTCCGGTTAATCCCCTCTGGACGTGGGGAGGTCTGGGGAAAGCTGTGCATCTTTCTGTCCCTCCCCAGACGCCAGCCCGGCGCAGCCCGAGCCGCGGGTCAGCAGGCGCGCATCGCGTGGGCGCTGGACCCGCGGTCCATCCGCGGCCGCGGGCGGCTTGTCCGGGAGCCCGAAACTCGGCCCGCTGGGGGATGCTCCGGGGTCGCGCGGCCCGGCACCACGGCGGATGGTGGGACTGTGCACAGCGCGGGACGCCCTCAAAGGCCCGACGGTGCGGGGCGCCCCTCTCTGCTGCGCAGGGCGGAGACGCGGCCGCCTGCCCTCGGTGAAGAGGAGCGAGTCGGTCCTGGAGGCTGATCCTGAATGGCCAGAGTAAGGGCAGATGAAATCTCCTGCGACCTGCGGGCAGAAGTTCTGCACCGCTGCCTGTTGCCCTCTGACCCCAGGCACCGGCTGGGAAAGCTGAGCGTCCCCTTAGCCCCCGTGGCTTCCCTCCGTCTCCAAAGCCTGCAGACTCGCCCATCCCCACTGTCCAGCCTCGTTGGGCCTCATCTCCTCCGGGGGTCCTAGTGCCACTGCTCTCCGGCGGTGCCTCCTGTTGGCCCTCCACCACCACGCACCCTTCATGCTGATGTCTCCCCAGCCAGAGCTTTCTTCTCTTCTCAAATGACCTGCGGTGGCTTCTCCTCACCTGTCACTAAAACCTCCACACTGTGTTCAGGCTCTGCGTCCGCCCAGGCTGACGATCCTTCTTGTTCCCTGTCCCCGCCCCAGGCCTCCTGCGGCCTCCACCCGGAGCGTCGCTGTCCAGCGTGGCAGCCGCGGGTTGCGCGGAGCTAGACAGCACCGGACAGGTGACTAGTCTGGTCTGAGACGCGCTGTAAGGGCACATACATGCCACACCCCAAAGACAGGAAGAATGCAAAATATCTCCTTTGTAATTTTTTGTATTGATTACATACGGAATTGAGATGTGCTATAAAAGATTTCAAAGATTTCATACAAAAAGAATGTGAAAATGCCTCATGAATGATTTTTATATAAATTCCATGTTGAAATGATCATGTTTTAGATAATTTGGGCTAATAAAGGACTTTATTAAATTTCATTTTACCTGTTAGCTTTTACTTTTTAATTCAGATTGTAGAATTTTAAAATTCTGTATGTGGGTCTTGTGTGTGGCTCACAGTATATCTCTCCTAGACAGTGCTGGTCTACAGTGACCATGGTCACTAGTTCCATGTGTCCATATCCTAGCCATCCTTCCAAGTCCGGAGCGAACCTTCTTAACATTATCTGTTAAGCCTCCTCCTGTGGCCCCTGGGGCCAGAATCGATCTTTCTCTCCTCTGAAATTCCATAGGATTTATCTTTAATTTTATCAATCTCTATCTTGTAAATTATAGTTATTTCTTTAAAACCAACCTTTTTTATACTTTTCTGTAATGTACCACAAACCCCTCAAAGGCAAGAGGCATTTCTGATCCGTGTCTCAGTTCCACTGTTGCATGCTAAGAGCATGTGCCTCTGCACTGGACAGACTCAGGGTGGGTACAGACGCCACGACTTGCCAGCTGTGTGATACTGGGTAAGTCACTTAACCTCTCTGAAATTTGGTTTCCATATTGTGTAACAGAGTGAGGATGGTAATGATGCCTATTTTATCGGGTTGTAGTTAGGATTAAATGAAATGATACAGATAGGACATTTAGCATGGTATATATATATATATATATATATATCTCCTTACATATAGATATATAAATAGAGAAGGGGGTGATTTTTAAGGAATTGGCTCACAGAATTGTGGGGAGTGGCAAGTCTGAAATGCACAGGGCAGACCAACAGGCAGGAAACTAAGGTAAGAGCTGATTTGCAGATTTGTGTCTGACTGCCACATGGCAACAGACTAGAAACTCAGGCCAGGTTTTCACATTGCAGTCTTGAGAAGTCCTTCTTCTTCAGGAAAACTCTTTGCTCTGAAGGCCTTCACCTGATTGGATGAGGCCCACCCACACTATGAAGAGCAATCTGCTTTACTCAAAGTCTACTGATGTAAATGTCCATCACACCTAAATAATATCTTCCCAGCAGCAGCCACACTGGTGTCTAACCAAACAACAGGGCGCCCAGCCTCTCCAACTTGACACATGGTTAGCCATCACGCCCGTCATAGGGTGCACTGAGCACCTCCTGGAGCCATTAACCAGGCTTCGTGATTCCTGTACCTTGGACCCTTCGATCAGAGCATGGAGTTGATTGACTGCTTTCTGAGTCCTCAGACATTCTATGCAGTGGGTCAGGCAGTGAACAAACTGCATTCACGGAGTGTCTAGGAAATGTCACCACCTGCTCAAAGTGGGGGAGTCGAAAGAGTGAAGAAGGCAGAGCTCTTGGCCTCAGGAGCTCACAGTCTGCTGGAAGAGGCAGGCGGAGAATGTGCACACAGGCAAATAAGACATTTCAGACATGCTAAGTGCTGGAGGGACGTAAGAGTTAATAGATTGGAGATGATGCAAGAGGTGGTCCGGTTACCAAATGGCCTAGGTCGGCCTCGCTGGGGAGGTCATCTGTGCTGACGTCTGCAGCCAAAAAGGCAACGCGACATCAGGACTTAGAGGCCCACAAAGTACTGATGTGCTTTGTTCCTGGGGGTCGTGTCCTGGCACCTAGGAGACCGGGAGAACTCCCAGCACTCCTGCCGGCCCAGAGGCCTCCCAGGGACAAATGCTGATGCCGCAAAAGCTTCCAGAGCTGCAGCAAACTCTGACCCCCCACACACACACACACACAAATACACACCCTCCTGCTCTCTTTGTCTTCCCATATTTACTTCCCGGTGTAAATGATTCCTTCACAGGGAATAAGCCAAAAATGAGCACTGCAGACCCTCCTTCCCCCGCCCCCCCCGGCCCCCGCCCCCGGGGAGAGCATGCTGTCTTCTGGAGATGAAACCAAAGCTCCACCAGTCTGTTTCTCTCCAGTCCCCAGGCCCACCCTCCCCACCGCACGCGAGAGAGCAGGAAAGACCCTACTAAACCACTCACCCGCGGCCCCGCTCCGCAGGCAGCCCCCTCTTCAGCAAGGTGGAAACTGCAGCCGCATCATTAGACTGTCTGCAAACACTCCTCCAGTCTGGAACGCGGCGCCCACTGTCCCGGCGTGTGTGAATATACGCACATGCATGTGCATGCGTGTGTGTGCCTATATGCATGTGTGTAGGCTGGAGGAAGTATTAAGGAAAGAACGCCAGCCATTCTGGCCTGTAGCTAGGCTGCTCTAATCTGCAACCTAACCCATTTTTTCCCTAATCTTTAAACCTCAACAAGAAATGAACAGGATGGTGCTCCCTGACCCAGCAGGGGAACCGTTCACCAAGGCGCAGAAATGCCAGTGTCTCCACCAGGATGTCTGGCAAACCAAACGCTGCTTACGGCCGCGGATGGCCTTTGGCTTCCTTAACACACTAAAGAGAGCCAAGGAGCTTCCACTTGCAGCCCAGGGCTTGAGCTGGCCTGTGGGGGAGAGAGGTGTTTGAGTCACGAGCGGGTCAGGGCCAGACGAGCACGGGAGTGTGGCCAGTGTGCACCGCCAGGCGGTGGCCTGCCCTGCCCCTCCAGGTGGCTTCCGCTGCTTTTCTCTGCTGGCACCATCTCAGAGAACTTGCCAGAATCCACGGAGAACAGCACTCGTCTCTGCGTGTAGAACCCGTGCGTGTCGGCTATTCGGAGCGGGCTCCCACGCTCGACACGCAGACACGCACGCGGCTGCTTTTCATCTCGGCGTCCAGCACGGGGTCCTGGACCCGCCTGGTTGCCTGACTTCCGCACTTGGACTTTCTGCTTGGTTGGTCTCAGCAGACTTCCGTGCTTCAGGACACGCTCTTCCGAGAGAAAACAAAATCACCGTGTGGAGATGGAAACCAGCAGTCGGTGAGTGCTAAGGACAGGAGAGCCAGGCTGTGCGTAGCCCCGTTTCACCCTGACAGCATAGGTGGCCACCGGAGGCAAAGTAACTTTGTTAGTCTGGATTCCTTTAATTGAAAATGACAGAAACCCAGCTCACGCGACCTGAGACCGGAAATGAAGGTATGGCCGCAATAGCTGAAGAGTCTGAAGACGGGACCGGCAGACCAGGCGAGGCTGGCGTGGGCTTGGAAGGGTGACTCCAGGACTTCGCGAGCCTCCGTTCCTGATTCCAGCTGTGTTGGTTGTGTTTTCTGGCAGTGTCTCCACAAGAGGTGACATGAAAGGCCACTGGCAGCCCGAAGCTTGCATTGTCCAAACAACGGGCAATCCAAGCAAAAAACTACTGTCTCTTTTCCCAAATGTTCTGCGAAATTCCCGCAGCCGATTCTCCTCAGCCCAGACTAGATCTCAGAACCGTTCTGGAGCCAGGGGTGGGGCAGCCTCCTCACAACCACACGGCCTGAGAGTGGGAAAGGGCATTTCCCCAAAAGTGTTTTGACAGGTTTATGTCTAAAGGTGCCCATTGTCCTTCTCAAGATGAAGAGGAAGGTTTCAGGAGAATGAGTCCCACACTGGGAACTGCAGCAAGGTCTATGGACTTGAGATATTTCACTGTACATTTTTAACCCTAAATTCCTCCATTCTGGTCTCTCTGTTGGACACATACTCTCTTAGTATGCTACTTCCCTTCTATGCACACATCTCCATTCTGAAAATCACACAGTTGTAAGCAAAGGACTTTAAAGTCTGGCTTGTGAGGAGAGACTGGGCTGGAGCAGAGAGGTGAGAAGACTTAGCCTCTTTGTAGGTCCTAAACTAGGGCACCCAAGTTCAAGATTCTTTTAAACCATTTCCAAATGTTTGCTCTGCAAAACATTATTCCCTATTGATACAACATGAAAAAAGGCTTCCATGAGCAAATAAGGCTTGGAGATGTCACACAGTACATGCTCTGTCTTTGGGAGCCACAATATACCTTAGCACATTAGCAGCACCTAGAAGTTCTTAGGAGAGAAACCAGTGTAACTCTTTTGGATGCAATGTTTATCAAACTACCCTATACTCAAAATACATTGTAGGAATGACACCTATTAACATCTGCAGAACAACAGTGCCTGTTGAGGAATGCTGGTCTGAGACAGCTTCACAAAGCCCGTGGACTTCTATCTTCCCAAACTGTCCGTCAGGTTTGAAGGTAAAGCCTTTTCATAGATTCACGGTCTCACAAAATATACCTCCCATGGACCCTTTATCAGGAAGCTATTAGAGAATATACACCCAAACAAAGGAGTAAACTAAGAAAGAGGAAGACATGGGTACAGGAAGCAGAGGATTAAACTCGGCAAAGCGAAGAAGGGACTTCCAGGGTGATGAATGAGGGAGACCTGGCGTGGCAGCTACGAATCGGC